AGAAGAAGAAGAAGAAGAAGAAGAAGAAGAAGAAGAAGAAGAAGAAGAAGAAGGAAAACATTTAATGATCATCTTCATAACCACCACCATCATCATCATCATCATCATCATCATCATCATCATCATCAACATCACCATCACCATCACCATCATCATCATCATCATCATCATCATCATCATCATCATCATCATCATCATCATCATCACCATCATCATAATCATCATCAATCCAATAAGAAATTAAGTCAGATGCAGTCATCAACATCATACGATTCCTGTAAGATCGGAAAAGCTTCTTAAAATATGTGAGGTGTGCAAACAAAATAAAATATTTCTCCTAATCCTTGAATGGAGCTATCGGCTAAAGATCAAATCTGTAGATTTCAAACCGACGCCATTTTCTTCAAGTTTAACATGTCTTTTCTAATTTTACAAATTCACAAATAAGTTTGATTTATATAAATCTATATCCAAGAAATGGTGGTTGGAGGGCACTACCGGTAGGTCCTACTTCTTTACTTTCCTCGTGTTGTTTCTGTCTGTCATTGGTACTTTTTCGCAGTTCTAAATAATCATTATTTTATCAATGTGCTTCTCTTTAATAAAGCTCCAACTCAAGCTAGATAGCTATGTCCATAGGGCTAAAACCTGAAATGTAATTCATTGTGTTAGCACGCCTCATAAGATTTGCTTAAGTAATTTTAGACCGGTTTGAGGAGTTTTTGGTTTGAAATGAAGTCAGAGCCAGCTTGGTGATATAGTTTACTTGAATTGTATTAAAAAATGTCCCAAAAACAAACTCCATTGAGTGTACCAAAGTTAAAACGTTTCAAACGGTCAGTTGTTCAAAAGAAAGTTTTTTTACGTTCTCAAAATGGCTAAAAAAGATTTAGGCATTTATCTAATAATCGTGAGGGTAAAATGTGTCTTTTGATTTGGAATGTGCTTTACGGCACTCGCAATTATTGTATACGGTTCTTTGAGCGCCGGGGATACATGAAACATCTTTACATTAATTGGTAGCAAGTAATTTTGAATTTTGCCCGGGTGGCGGCCGAAGCCTGCTCTTCTTATGGGATGTGTGTCTGATAGGTGTGCACATGACGTAAGTTCACGTACCCATGCAGAGACCAAAGACGGCGCAGCTGATCTGGAGGAAGATGTAGCTGTTGCAGAAGGGGAAGGCCAGGTTCGTCACAGCGGCCATGAGCAGAGCGACTACGTACAGCCAGATGCTGGGCAGGCGGAAGCAGTCCGTGATGAAACCTGGCAGGACGACAGAAAGAATATCATTATGTACGAGCACTATAATGAGCACTATATGTGTTTGTCATCATAATTATATAGATCTATGTGACCACTATATTATTATGTTTATGTGCTTGTCATTATAATTGTGTATGTGGGCACTTTGTGTGTTTGTCATCATAAATATGTATGTGAGCACTAATGTGTTTGTCATTATAATAATGTACATTACCACTATGTGCTTATCATCATAAGTATGTACGTGAGCACTATAATTATGTGTTTGTCATCATAATGAATATTATGCATGTGAGCACTATAAGTTCTTGTCATCATAATTATGTATATGTGATTGTCATCATTATTATACATGTGTTCTCTATGTGTGTTTGTCATCATAATTATGTGTGTGAGCACTGTACAGCCATTACACGTCAACCTCTGAGCTAGAGATGACACGTCCAGGTATCCAAGTATGTACGGTAGGTACTAACTACCATTTTCATGTGCACCATTTTTTAAGTAATCAGAAGGGGTCAGACCCTTAGGAATGGGTAGGGCAAAAACTAAAATGGGTTATCTTAAGACAAATGTAGCAAGAAGAATACGAATATGAACCAAACTAGATATCTATCTACCTATCTATCTATCTATACTATAGATTTTTTATATTATGTATCAAACAGCTTTCCTCTAAAACGCTATATTAAGTTATGTATAAACATATTATAATATACATAAATACTCATGAGACTTCTATGACGGTTCCTTGTCGATATTTCTTTCTTTTTTTTTGGACACTGAGTAAAAACAAAAAAATCAACAATAGTCATAACTAGGTCAACATACCCGCCAGAAGTCTCCCCAGCACGTTGGCGATCCCCACAATGGAGATGAGGAAGGCCGCATCCGAGCGTCCGATGTTCAAGGATACCGCAAGGTCAGGTAAGTAGGTCAAGGACACGGACTGGGCTGAGGGGGAAAAAGAGAAAAGAAATCAATGCATTTCAACTTCAACGTTTAACTCTTTGTGTGTGTTTGTTTGTGTGTGTGTGTGTTTGTGTGTGTGTGTGTGTGTGTGTTTGTGTGTGTGTGTGTGTGTTTGTGTGTGTGTGTGTTTG